CAGATTATCAGAATTTGTCTCTTTTTTACATCGGTAGGTAATTTATCGGTAAAAAAACGAAGCACAGTAAAAAGTTTTTACTACGTACATAACAAAAAAAACAATATTTTATAATTCGACAAGGGAGTCGAACTCGGGTAGATTGGTTACGAGGCAACCATAATTTACTTGTTAAAAAAAATTTTTATGTTACGTTCTCAGAATTTCGCCCAAAATTATTTTTTTATTATTTTATAAATATTATATTTTAAATAAATTTATCTCGTTCAATTCTCCGAATGCACATTGAGAGATATCCGTTGCATCGCTGGTGGCTTCATCAGCAGCTTAGTAATGGAAATCTCGCGATAAGGCATCGGCAGAAAGTCACCGCGGTCGCGGATAGTCCAAACATCTTGCGTCAGCATGGGACCCGGGCCTCGATGACTCTCTCAGGGAGTAACCTGAGCTGCAAACATGGCTGAAATACTGTTTATAAAAACTAATCTGGAGTTGACTCAAGTCAGTAGATCGACGGACTTTCTTGAGCACAGAGCTCTGTCCGACTTGAACCTCTCCAGATCCTTAATCCAATAAAAACTAATTACAGTAAACACGCTGTTAAATCCTTTTGGTGCGAGCGCCTTTCAGCTTTTCCACCAATTCAAATCCTTCCGGTGCAAAGGCTCAGTAGCCATTTCACCGATTAAATTTCCCATGGTGTGAGCGCCTTTCAGCCGTTCCACCAATTCAAATCCTTTGGGTGCAAAGGCTCATTAGCCGTTTCACCGATAAAATTCTCATGGTGTGAGCGCCTTTCAGCGGTTCCCCAGGTCCAAAAACCCACTTCGGAGATGAGGGCTCATTAGCCGTTCTATCCGAATTTTCTTCTCGGTTCATGCCACGGAAAGGCAGGCGTTCACGTCGTTCGGGTCGGGCCGTGCAAAGGGGCCGTTCATTTCAGTTACTGTCGCTTAACTTCTCTATGCCCATAATCTCCGACGAGGAGCCAGAAGTATCGCGAGTGCCAGTAAAGTGTACCGCCTACGTACCTCGGGGGAATTATTCGCCCAGGTCGCCATCTCCGTCGCTGCAGGAACCATCAAGCACTGGACCATTAACTCCCGAAAATTATTCAACCTTCTGGACAGACGTATCACGTCCTTGGATACACAAGGCCATCGATCTTCCGGAACATTTCCAACCACCAGGTGGAACAATTCCTCTTCAAGATCTACGGTACGGCTATTACTCTGAGGAGTACTTTCTCCGCACCGGATTTGACAGCTACCCTCCGTTTGAAGCCAGGAGGCTTGTTTAAAAAGGTATTATCTGGGCTAAATTATGGGGTCCGCAATGGTGAGTCTTTAAAATACTAGAGAGGTAAAAGTAAGCTTATCTGTGACGGCACGCCGGAGGTCAATAGATCACCCAACGATGTCAAACCTGAATTTTATTCGTCAGTTCTTAATTATTAAATTTATATTTTAATTTAAAATCGCCAATAGAAATTTAGAAGCGAATTAAAATAATTCCCAAAAATTGAGAACGTAACAGTGGTGCTGTGACCAGGATCACAGATAATCTTACTTACCTTTTATAAAGAAAACTGTGAAGTGACTAAAAGTGATGGCAGTGATGAGTTAGTGAAAATTTTAAATGAAATATGGGCAATTTTAGTGAAGTGATTTGTGAATCATTAGTTTTCTTCCTTTATTTTTATACAGGTGTTCCTGGGGTAAGAAAAGAAAATTTGTTTTATCCACGATCAGTTTGCATGGCTTATAATTTCTGAAAAATTACCTATTATGACGATTCGCCAATATTTTTACGACAAATTAAAATTCACATATTTAAAAAAAAAAATGGTTGCTACGGAAAATTAAAATCTATATATTTTATACCAAATCTCTTTATGAAAATTTAAATTTACATATTGTACATGAAATTTTTCGTTATAAAATCAAATTTATATATTTTAAATGAAATCTTTCCGTGAAAATTTAAATTTACATATTTTACACAAAATTTTTGGTTATAAAATTTAAATCTATGTATTTTATACCAAATCTTTCTATGAAAATTTAAATTTACATATTGTACACGGAATTTTTTGTTATAAAATCAAATTTATATATTTTAAATGAAATCTTTCCGTGAAAATTTAAATTTACATATTTTACACAAAATTTTTGGTTATAAAATTTAAATCTATATATTTATACCAAATCTTTCTATGAAAATTTAAATTTACATATTGTGCACGAGATTTTTCGTTTAAATTTGTATATTTTGAATGAAATCTTTTCGTGAAAATTTAAATTTACATATTTTACACGAGATTTTGTTATAAAAATTAAATCTATATATTTTGTACCAAATCTCTCTGTGAAAATTTGAATTTACATACTGTGCACGAAATTTTTCGTTTAAATTTTTATATTTTGAATGAAATCTCTCCGCGAAAATTTAAATTTACATATTTTACACGAAATTTTTGTTATAAAAATTAAATCTGTATTTTGTACCAAATCTCTCTGTGAAATTTAAATTTACATATTTTACACGAAATTTTTGCTATAGAAATTAAGCTTTATATGAAATTTTCTTAGGAAAAATTAAATTCGCGTATTAACTCGAAATTTTTCTTTAGGAAAACAAATTTTTATATTTTATACGAAAATTTTTTTATGAAAATTAAATTCACACGAAATTTTTGTTGTGAAAAATAAATTCACATATTTTATACGAAAATGGTTGCTACGAAAAAATTTTATGGAAAATTAAATTCACATGTATTATGCGATTACAGTTGCTACAGAAAATTTTATTAACTTTAATAAAATTAATAACTGTCACTTTCGTTCGAGATTTTAAACTCGACATATTTTATGGCGAATTTAATATTCGCGTATTTGAAATTTTCTTTCATTATTTAATTCAACGAGGCAAATCCTTATGATATTTAAAGTTTTATAAAATAAATAATTATTTACGAAAATTTATTAAAATAATGACTCTTTGGGGTATTTAATCTCAGAAAATTAATTTATCCGTCGGACTCTGGAATGCATACCGTCCGTCGGACAACACTCGTCAATACGCAATCTTATGTCAGATGCGTGAGGAAAAACCTCAAGCTACACTATAAAATGATACCAATTTATTAGATTTGCAATATTTTTCTTCAATGCTTAATGTAAAGGAAGCTTTTTACCAATTCTGATAACATTTTTATTATCTTTGAATCTAAACGAATATAATATAACGTCAGTCGCCTGAGTTAGCTATCAGTAATTAATTGACACTTAATTTAATAAAATAAATTTAAATTGATAAATCAGTTATGAGGATTTTTCTTTTAATTAATTAATTATAATTTCAATTTTTATAAATTAGCTTTTATTATTCAGAGACTGATTATTAGAAATTGGTGGATTGACTTCCTAATTAAGCATTGAAATTTTGCAAACGATTTTGAATTAAAATATTTTTCTTTATTTTATTTTATTCAAATTCTTTTAAGAAATTTTATTTTCATGTCTTGTTAATTAACCATGGCGCCACCGGATCAGATGACCGAAGAAGAACTTCGCGAATTAAGTGAACGTTTAGACGCTCAATGTCGTGACCATACAAACGCGAAGCCGATATTTTAGCACGTGAGAGTATACTTAAATCTCGATTAACAGATTTGACGGGTCGCGAGCAGCGACTTCTTAGTTGGAAATCTGATTTGAAAGACCGCGAATCAATTATTAGTAAAAAAGAAATTTCGTTAGAAGAACGCGAAATTACCTTAAAGCAGTTAGAAATCGCGGGTCGTGGAATTAACGTTACCGAAAATGAGCTCGCGGAAAAGGAGGCTAAATTAAATGCTTTCGCGAAAGAAGATCGAAGAGCCGAATTAGACGATAAAGAAACAGAAATCGAAAACAAAGCGCGGGAATCAGCGGATGTTTTCCGCCAGGCCAGAACATTGGAAGCCGAACGTTATCATAAACGGGAAAACTCCCTCAAGGAGCTTGAAAGTTCGTTGGATCAAGCTCGTAACGATTTACAAGCTAGGGAGGATGCTCTGAATCAGCGGGAAACCGAAATCGAAGCTCAAAGCGAAGAACTTCCGAATTCATGTTTTTGACCTTGTTGCGTCAAAAATTTGAAGGTCCAGCGCGCACTACGGTAGAGAAAATGGACTATGTTAACATTAAGGAGTTCGAAAATCTTTTGAGAACCATTTTTGATCGCCGCCGTTCCGCAAATCAATATAAGGCCGACATGGAACACATAATTATGAAACCAAACGAAGACATGGTATCTTATGTTAACCGGGCCCGAGCAATTTACCGCGATATACTGCACGCAGAAATTTCAGAGCGTGGCGTTCTAACTGATTCCGAAACAATTGAGATCGATAAAAATTCTATCGCAGCTTTCCTTCGGGGTATTCCACCGCTTTTGCAAGTTCAATGCCGATTAAGACCGCATGACGATTTAGAACAAACTTATACGTCCGCGATCGAGGCATTTAAGGAATATGAAATGAATACGAAACGTTTCAAAAATCAATCATTAACCTCTCCAGTTGCGGTAGCGGTTGTTCAAAATCAGGATTCCAAAGGTAACTCAAAAGATAATAAATCGAAACCTAAAAAAAATTCAGGAAACGGTAAAGGTAAATCGGGATCGGGGTCAAATGCGAAAAACGGCAACGACAATAACGCGCAAAAATCTAACGCCGGTAATAATTCAAAAAAATCCGACAATAGTGAAAATAAGGGTAAAGGCGCATCTTCGGGGGGTAATCAGAGGTCCAACTTGTATGACCCTTGCCCTTGTTGTGGCAAGACTAATCATCCTCTCGCGAGATGTTTTAAATTTTCTTCATTACTTCAATCTCGTATGGGTGAGTTGGGAAACTTGATACTCCTGGAGCAAACCAACGACGGGACCTCCGGGAGTCCGGACAACTCCAAATCCTCGTCGAAAAATCCAGCGACCCCGTCAACATCATAACAGTAATGGTAAATCTCCATAAAACTAATGTGCCCGTGATTTTAGCTAAAGGTAACGACGTTAAAGATTCGGTAACCGTTATGCTTGACACGGGATCGGAAGTCAATTTAATAAAATTGGTGCTCTCTGTAAACCACAATATATCGATCGAGATTTTAAATTAGCGCTGCTGGGTATCAATACAGATCCAGTGTTCACCGTAGGCAAAACCTACGTGGAACTATTCGGCTACGATATTGAATTTAGTGTTGTCGAGGATAATTTCCCTACATTACACCCTGCTTTATTGGGTGCTAGATTCTTTAGCGAATACGGCGCTAGGCTTTTTTTTTGATCGCAAAATATTTACGTTTTTTGATATAGAAGTACCGTTTTTCGAAACTGAAATGGACAAATTGAGCCCGGATTCAGTTTCAGCAATTAAAATTAAAACTTCTTCCGATTCCCAGTCATGGTTACGTACCGCGTATTTATTGTACTCCCGGAGTGGAGTTAGGCGGAACTTTCGAAACTAACGACGACGGTACCTTCCTAAGGGCTTACAATAGTTTGGACCATGAGGTCCTGATTCCGAAACCAGTAGTGAGTTTGCGATTCCCCTTTTGGTGGGACGAAAGCGATTGCTCGAAAAAATTATCGCCGATTAAAATTATCAACGATGATGCTCGCGATTGTTCTAAAACCCGGAATTCTCCAGAAAAAGTAGAATCTAGCGTATTCATAATATCCGAGGATATGAAAACTCCGGAACGGGCACAGAGTGTGTTTAGCTCTGTTCACCTGACAGAAGAGTTATCGGATTCGCAACGCGTAGAAATTAAAAACTTGATTACAAATAATCAAGATCTATTTTATCTGCCCGGAGAACATCTCGGTTTAACGAGCGAGATTTTACATAGAATCATCACTACTGACGACCAACCGGTTTTTAAAAAGCAATATCGCTTTCCTCCCATACATAAGGGGGAAATCTCACGGCAGGTCAGGGAATTAGAGGAAAAAGGTATTATTAGACCTTCAGAATCTGGCTATTGTTCGCCCATTTGGATTGTCAAAAATAAAGAAGACTCTTTAGGCAATAAAAGGTGGCGCATGGTTATATATTTTAGAGATTTAAACGATAAAACTTTTACGATTGTCTATCCGACACCAAACATTATTGAAATTATCTATCAAACTGGAGATGCCGCTTGGTTCTCCACTTTTGATTTAGCTAGTGGATTTTACCAGATTGAAATCCACCCTGATGATATACACAAAACTGCCTTTTCGACCCTAGACCAGCATTATGAATTTGTAAGAATGCCGTTTGGGCTGAAAAATGCCCCTCCGACATTTCAAAAATTAATGAACAAGGTCTTGGCTGGTATGATAGGCAGGGGAGTGTTCGTCTATATGGACGATATTGTAACATACTCAAAAACTTTTGCGGAACATATTGCGAAAGTTAGGGAATTATTCGAACGTCTGCGTAAGGCCGGTTTGCAACTGCAGCCAGATAAATGTCACTTATTCCGTAAGGAAGTTAATTATTTAGGACATATTATATCTGCTAACGGGGTTCAACCGGACCCGAAGAAAACGGACGCCGTCGAAAAATTTCCGATACCAAACACTGTAAAGAAAATCCGGGAATTTCTGGGTCTCATGGGTATTACAGGAGGTTTATCGATAACTACGCGAAAATTAGTGAACCGTTAACCTCCTCATTACAAAAGAACGCTACGTTCGTATGGAGCGAAAGTCAGAAGGAGGCATTTGAAACCCTTAAGGGTAAATGAACAAATTCTCCAATTTTGCAATTCCCAGACTTTTCTCGCGAATTTATAATAACCACGGACGCCTGCGATTATGGCATCGGTGCTTGTCTAAGTCAGGGTGAAATTAATAAAGATAAACCCGTGTGTTACGCCTCGCGTTTATTAAATTCGGCCGAACGTAATTACTCCACAATCGAAAAAGAAATGCTCGTTATAGTATACGCCGTGAACAAATTTCGACCGTATATCTACGGAAGTCAATTCACATTAGTAACCGATCATCGACCGTTGACGTGGGTAAATTCTGTAAATTCACCGAATTCGCGCATAGTTAGGTGGCGGTTGAGCATGGAGGACTATAGTTACAAGGTCGTATATAAACCGGGCCGAATAAATTCTAATGTCGACTCATTACCGCGTAACCCAGTTGATGAACCCGAAGAACCCGTACAGGTAGCACCGATTCGCAAAGGAAACCCAGACGTAACTATATCTACGCCGAAAGAAACGAGCGAAGAAGACCCTACTGAAAATAGAAAACGCGTTCGGAGGTCCTACAATCTTCGGAGGAAAGCTCGAGCGCTTAACGATACGCCGGAGCAAAGCAGTAATTCGGAACCCGAAAATCGCGAAAAGATAACTCCGCCAGTCCGATTTACATTCAAACCTCGGCAGTGAGCTATACCAGCTCCAGGTCCTGCTGCACAAGCAATTCAAGACCCGAGCCAACCTGGGCTGTCGACAGCGCCTCAACCGCGAATTCTTTCTGACGAAGACGAACAGGCGACACACCCGATCGAGGATGAACCTCGAGAACATACGACTCCCAGGGCGCGTCCGCGTAACATGCCTTTGTTATCTTCTGGCGATTCCACGTACGGAGAAGCGTCTGACGACCCTCTAACGGAAACCGAGCGGAATAACCGCGAGAATAGAAACAGTAATCGCGAGACTGATATGGAAATTGACGAAAGTAGCGGCAACGACGACATAGTCAATGAATCCGAACTGCAAACGGACGCAGATGACTCCAAGGACGATCGTCAGTCTGAGGAGGGAGAGGCTGGTGCGGATGAAGAAAATCCTGAACGCCCTTCGCGTAACAATCGAGCGGCAATTACGCCGCAAGTACGTGAAATCACGCCTAATGTCCGCGAGACCCGAGACCGGCTATCGATGCAGACGGATAATGTCTTAATTTTCGTCAATGTTAAAGGTGATCCCTTCGATGAAGGTAGCCGCGAACTTTCCGGGATGTTGCAAATTCCCGAAGACTTACGCGTTAATTACCTTAAATCTACAGTAATTCCATATAAAAGAAAAAAAAGGCACTATATCTTGGCTGTGCCCAAGTACAGGGCGTTGGATCTCGTATCCGTGGATGACATCTGTGACACTCTAAATAATGTTTGTACAAACGTGACAGAATTAGGTCTGGAATCATTTAGTATTGCAAAAACAGACAAGATTGACGACGTTAATTGGTTGACAATCCAGCGTAGGTTAATTGAAATTTTTTCTGACACAGAAGTAAAAATTACTATTTGCCTTAATTTAGTTCGTATTCCAAGTGACGAGGAAAGACCTCAGATCTTAAAGGAATACCATGGTTCCGCTGTAGGTGGTCACAAAGGTATGACCAAAACCTACAAAAGAATCAGGCAAAATTTTTTCTGGCCTAATATAAAAAAGGACGTTATGGAGTATATTCAAAAATGTCTGGATTGTCAGCTGAAAAAGCTAGTTCGAGTCAAAAATAAGCAACCAATGGTGCTCACAGATACCCCGGATGCGGGATTCGACAAAATTGGTCTTGATATTATGTACCCTACGCACACGTCTGCGTCAGGCATGAAATATATTTTAACTATTCAGGATTTATTAACCAAATTCTCTATGGCGATCGCATTAGAACAAGCAACAGCAGTCGATGTAGCGAGGGCTCTGGTAAACAGATGGTTTTGCTACTTCGGTCCGCCTAAAGCCATACTTACTGATCAGGGAACAAATTTCCTTTCAAGCCTACTTAAAAATATTGCTAGAAAGTATAAAATAAAACAATATCGAACGACTGCATATAGTCCACAAAGCAATGGGTCGGTCGAAAGATCGCACCATGTCTTACAGGAATATATAAAACAATGCATTACCAAGGAGGAAGACTGGGACGAGTACCTGGACTTAGCCTCATTTTCGTATAATGTTAGTGAACATGAGGGCACAGGTTTTACTCCGTACCAATTAGTTTTCGGGAAGTTACCTCGTCTTCCTTCTCAATTCCAAGCAGTCGAGGAAACTAATCCAACTTATACAGAATACCTTGAGCAATTATTTAATCGCATTCGACAAACAGAAATAGCTGCGAATGCGAACTTACGTAGAGCTAAAGAAAGATCAAAATTCTATTATGACAAAAAAATAAATCCACAAAGGCTTAGACCGGGAACAAGAGATTTCCTATTGATAGAGCCAAGAAAGAGCAAGGGTGACCAGCAGTATACTGGCCCTCACGAGCTAATCAGTATAGGGCAAAATGAAACCGCGGAAATAGATGTAGACGGAATCTCAAGATTCGTACACATAAATAAATTAAGAATTTCTCGAATATAATTTCAGATGGCTTTCGGCCTCGGAGCAATTATACTGTTGGTGTCCCTCCCCCTTTCTAAAGGACTGGTAGGATACGACTACGGCGGATCCTCCATGAATACGTCAACATTATCACTGTTGGATGTAAGGGAGTGTAAAATAGAAAATACCCGGCCTCAATCGGAGACGGTCAATATTTATCTTTTACAACCCGCGGAAATAATTCAAGTACACGTTATGGAGTGTAAAATTCTGATTAATCGGAACATTCAGCATTGTGGTATGCACTCCCATACATCCTCAGTACTTTATGGTAGAAGAGAATACTATATGGACATAGATTATAATAAATGTAAAAGAATGCATGAGACCGGGTCGGTCTGGCTATTTGATCGAGTTCCATTCTATGAACTAAAAATGAACAGTACAAGTCATCGAGTGGCAATTCTAGCGGGTAGTCAAAGTATGGGGGGCGATTGTGAAAAAGGAACCTTCAGTGATGAATACGGTACGTGGTCGGGAGTGGTAGTGGACGCTACTTTTGAAATAACATTAACCGAGTACGAAACTGCGTTAAATACTAAGACTAACGAAGTGATGTTGCGTTCGGGAACGAGATGTAACGCGGAAAAACTTACTTGCGTAACTAGTGACGGTATGTCCGCATTTTGGAGCGAAGTACCAAAAGACTCGTGCCTTATGAAATACGCGTAACTTTACCACGGGCCCGCCACTAAATTAGTCGGTCAAAACGAATCACCGGATGTTTATTCACTCACGACAGAGGACATCACCTTTGCACTCGCGCAGCGAGGCTGGATGGACGTATGTGGGCATACGGTAATTAAGACTGAACATCCGAAATTGTTCATCATTGTCGTTAAAAATCAAGGCCATACCCTCTCGATCGAAACAATTAAAACCGAAGACATGGACATTTTCGCATATATAAACAGTAAGTTTTCTATGTCGAGAAATTCATCCGCCAGCAAGTACAAAATCTCTATCACGACGTTCTAGTTCGACGCTGTGAACTAAAACGATCTGTGCTTCTTAACGCGCTGGCCTTGTCGTCACTTACGCCAGACGAGTTCGGGTATGCCTTGATGAAAGGTCCGGGATATTACACAACCGTCGCCGGAGAATTGGTCCACATTACCAAGTGTATATCAGCACCTGTAAAGGTCCGCGAAACAGAACAATGTTATCAGGAGCTACCTGTAACATATAACAATAAAAGCTACTTTTTAACACCCAAGTCAAGAATATTGATACAACACGGTACCCTGATAGAGTGTAATACTATTTTGCCAATAGGTTACTTAATCGACGGTGTCTGGTTTCACATAACTCCACAGGTGATTAGAGCGCCCGAGCCTCAACAACTACAACCTCTTATGAGCCCGACTTAAAATTATGAAAATCCGGAGCATTTAGCAACATCGGAAATTTATTCTCAAAAAGATTTAGAAAAGCTGAGAAGCCGCATCATGTTTCCAGCGGAAAGACCCGCTCTTTTAAATTCCATAGCGATGGGGGCAGCAGGACGTGCCATTCCTCCAGGAAGTCTTGACGTTATGGGCTTATTCGACGAAGAGGCCCTCGAAAAATTAGCAACTAGCACCGGCTGGAAGATCTGGCGAGCATTAATAGATTTTGGCTCATTCACCGCCGGCGTTTTCTCAATTTTGCTAATCATAAGACTGCTGAAGTTCGTCCTTGATACTTTATTCCATGCCTACGCCCTTTATACCATTTATGGGTGTAGCGTATTGTTAGTGACAGCGGTTTACGATACGTAAACCAACCTCCTACTTCATCGTCATTATCAACAAAGACGGATTTTTGACGAAGAAGAACAACGACCTATGGCTCCGATACCTCGGCCAAGGTCAAGCATATGTATCATTGACGAACAGCAAGACTACAAGAAGTCAGCACCACCCGAAGAGATGTCCTTTCGGAAGCTATCGAGACAACTTGAAGATCATCAGCAGGAAGATTCGCGCATCAAATTACACGAGTGCTTTAATAGAGAAACTTTAACTCGTTTACGAAAGGTGACACGACAAAATCTCCCAGGAAAAAATCTCCCCGAAAAAATCTCCCCCCTAAAATCTCCCCGCGACAAAATCTCCCCGACAAAATCTCCCCGCGATCATGAGTCGTGCAATAAAATAATTATAATATTATTATCCGCGTTTGAGTTAGTCTAATGTCGAATAAACATACACAAAAACCATGTTAAGAGAGCGCAACACGATTATCCGCGTTTGTGTTGGTCTAATGTCGAATAAACATACACAAAACCATGTTAAAAGGGCGCAACACGATTATCCGCGTCTGTGTTGGCCTAATGTCGAATAAAAACACACAAAAACCATGCTAGAAGGGCGCAACACGACTATCCGCGTTTGTGTTGTCCTAATGTCGAATAAACATACACAAAAACCATGTGAAAAGGGCGCAACACAGTCACAAGCAGAGGTAATAAAATAATAATAAAATATTTAAATTATGATAAATTTTTAAAATAAGTTAAGAGAGATTTTCTCAGTGAGATTTTGTCGTTGGGAGATTATGTCGGGGAGATTTTGTCGTGGGGAGATTTTGTCGGGGAGATTTTGTCCGGGGAGATTTCGTAGTACAACTTACTCAGACAGCTATTGTGACACTACCAGCAGCTGCAGCGCGGAAGATATTGACAGGAAGCGGTAAAGTCCGAATCGGCTAGACCAACTGCCGAATCAGAGCTACGAGGAGACCAATCCAATGTTTCAAGTGCTGGCACTTTGGACACCTTGGGTCCCAGTGCAAGAACAATGTGGATCGGTCTAAGCTATGTATTAGGTGCGGACAAGAAGGACACAAGATTGCTGAATGCGAAAACGCAACGAAATGTGTATCATACGCAGATCAAAGTACGGAGAACTCGGCCCATCATGCCGGCGCATCAAGGTGCCCAGTATTTAAAGAGGCACTCCAGAAGATAACAAACAAACAGACATGAAGATATTGCAGCTAAACGAGAACTAGAGTTAGACTGAGTAATGATAGCAGAGCCATACAGATACCTGAATACTCAGCCTTGGGAATCTGACAGCACCGCCAAGACTGTCATCTGGTCTTGTGGTAAGCATCCCTTCCAGAGTGTAGTTAACAATACAGTTAACGGCATCCGTTTCTACAGCTGTTATGCACCACCTAGCCTATCCATTGTTGAATTCACTGAATTTTTGGACAAACTGACCGAGGACGCCAAGCAGCATTATCCAGTCACGATTGCCGGTGACTTCAACTCCTGGGCAGTAGACTGGGGCAGCAAGCAGACAAATGCGCGAGGAAAAGCACTTCTAGAAGCTTCTTCTACACTAGATGTTGTCCAGCTCAACAGTGGTAATACGCCAACCTATACTAAAGGAGAAGCAAGCTCTATCGTAGATCTCACTTTCGTCAGCAGCAGCCTCATCAGTGGGAAATACGACTGGAAGGTGATGGATATCTACACAGCCAGCGACCACAGGGCAATTCTCTGGCAAATATCACATGGCCGGAATACAAGAAGACCAATCAAGTCACTCAATACCATTGGATGGAAAGTGAAGTCTTTTGACACAAGCACATTGGTAATAGCCCTCAATAGTGAACCGATTACTACTGGATCCGCAGAAGAAATGACCAAGGACCTGATGAAAGGAGTTGTGCAGGCCTGTGACGCCAGTATGGTCCGGAAACACAGCATAAGCCAACGCCCGGCAGTACACTGGTGGAACGACCACATCAGTGTTCTTCGAAAAGAGTGTCTTAAGAAAAGAAGAATATCCCAGCGTGGCTATCGACGACCAAACTCTGCGGAGCTGGTCGCAGAATACAAAAAAGCCCATTAATCATTGAACAAAGCCATCAAGGATAGTAAGAGACAATGCTGGAAAGAGCTCATCAACGAGGTGGATAAAGACGTGTGGGGTAGGCCTTATAAGGTGGTTATGACCCACCTAAAAAAACAACAAATGCCATCACCTACGTGTCCTCAACTTCTCCAGAAAATCGTCACTGCACTGTTCCCACAGCAACGCAACTTCGATTACCAGTTGGCGCCAGGCGAACTGAACGACACTCCACCTATCACTAAAGAAGTACTGCTGGAGGCCTGTAACCGTGTAGGGAATAATAAAGCGCCGGGATTGGACGGAATCCCTAATATAGCCTTGAAAACCATCATAAAGGCAGCTCTAACATTATTCCTAGACGTTTATAATGCATGCCTTAAGGAGGAGACTTTTCCGCATAAGTGGAAACAGCAACGATTAGTACTGTTACCTAAAGGGAAGAAACCACCGGATGAACCATCTTACCGCCTACTTTGCATGCTAGATATAGCGGGTAAGATATTTGAACGCATAATTCACCAGAGAATTAAAGCAGTAGACGACCCAATCCTGGCAGACAATCAGTATGGATTCCGGAAAGGACGATCAACCTTGGACGCAATCAAACTGGTCGTTGATACGGCCAAGGAAGCAATCGCAGAAACCAGATGGAAGGGTGGAACGAAAGAGTATTGCCTGGTGGCGACCCTAGACATCAGAAACGCATTCAACTCCGCCAATTGGGAATGCATCATGCAGGCCCTCCAAGAGAAGAATGTACCAGAATACCTTCTTAAGATCGTAACAAGCTACTTTGAAAATAGGGTCTTGAAGTATGACACGAAGAACGGTCCGAGGGAGTATGATATTACTGGAGGTGTACCACAAGGTTCAGTTCTAGGCCCGCTCCTATGGAATATTATGTATGACGGTCTATTAAGACTAACTCTGCCAAGAAACGTCAAACTCGTAGCATATGCAGATGATGTAGCCGTAGTGATCGTTGCCAAACACCTTGACGAGATAAACCATATGTTCGATCTCACTTTTGAGCGCGTTAATCGGTGGATGGACACAGTGAACCTGCAACTGGCGCAACACAAGACTAAGGCAGTGCTTATTACCAGCAGAAAAGTGGTAGAGACCATTAAGCTGCAAGTCGGCGAACAAGAAATCACATCACAACCTTATATCCGATATTTGGGAGTGATGCTTGATGCCCGACTCAACTTCAAGCAGCAAGTGGAGCATGTCAGTGCCAAAGCATCAGTAGTGAGGGCTAGTCTAGCACGACTGATGCCGAACGTCGGAGGCCCAAAGCAGAGCAGGAGGCTATTACTGTCATCAGTAGTCACATCGGTGCTCACTTACGGAATATCCATTTGGGTTGACGCATTAAAGACGCAAGAATCATGGAGAAAAGCTGGACCAGTATATCGACTGAGTGACCTACGAGTAGCTAGCGCCTTTCGCACAATATCAAAGGAAGCAGTGTGTGTTATTTCCGGTACTCTTCCTCTCAGAGTCCTAGCTGAGGAAAGACGGAACCTATATCAACGGAAAAGGTCAACCACACTGAGCCCTGAAGAACTTAGAAGCGAAGAACGGCAACACAGCATCGCAAGATGGCAACAAGAGTGGAATGCTTCAGATAAGGGTCGGTGGACGTACCGTCTAATACCTCGGGTTGATATGTGGTTCAACCGGAGTCACGGTGAGATCAACTATTATCTACCGCAGATATTATCAGGAGACGGATGTTACCGGAAGTATCTCCATCGCTTTAAGCACGATGATACCCCAGAGTGCCCGTCCTGTCCAGGGGTCAATGAAGATGCGGAGCAA